ATGACTGAGTTCCGGATCCGCAGTTAATTCTTTTTTAACTGCTTCTAAGGCCATAATAACTGGTATATTAGTATAAAGACTAGTTATATCAAAACTAACCATTGTTTCTTCGAGTCTACACCCAACACATGCAATAGAAATGACTCATCACTCATACCTGAAATATGGAAAATACTATTACCAATCAAATCAAGTGAAAAACAATGGAACTATATAAATGAATTTAGGAAGTCGTGTGATTTCCTTGATATGATTATCAGCAATAAATTGTGCTCAAAACGTCATCAGTAAACATTACTGTATAACACTGTGAGACTTTATCAAAACAAAAATTTACCAATAATGGAAGTATACTCAAGCACAGTGCACAAGTTTTATTCTTATATCAATGATCTTTTTTTGCTTCTAAGACAATAAAGTTTCATAAGTGTCAGTCAGTCGCTTCGTGTAAACAGAAGGATAAGCCTCACGTGTGAACTGTCTTATAATTTTTTTTAAAAAGTTGAAAATGAAATCAACCTTTTGTGATTCAATCACAAACTTGTAGGATCCATTTAATCCTTTTGAATATTTCAAGAACTGAACACTGTTTAATGTAAACTTATTTTAAACAAGCAACAAGTCACAATAATGTAACAATGAAAGTCGTCAGTGGAATATTCTACGCAGACTGATTTATATGTATATACATAAATTAGGAATTAAAACTTGTTTTCCTTAGCGTAATCAAGCGGCGGCTTCAACAATGTGCACAAAGCTGGTCGCCAGTCTTCGATACATTGAACTGCTTATATCACTTTGAGTGCATTTGTAGATCGTATAGATAGAAAATTTTCTACTGGTATGATAAAGTATTTTTCTAAGTGGCTGAATAATGATGAAGCCAAAATACCGAAGACAATGAAATCCCAAAGCATCTTATAGACTACCAAAATCATATTGATGCCATTAAGTCAATCAGTAGTACCAGCCGACAAACAAACAGAATGAAGCTTGAAGTTTCGACAGTACTGTTATCCTAACTCGTTTCATTATTATTACTATGATTGTTATTGTTATTATTATTGTTCGTTTTGCAATCCCTATTATTCTGGAGCTCCCTTTTTCATAACAACACGATAAACTGATAGGTTATTGAATAGCTAAGTGTCAGATGAATTCAATAAATACGATTTCCTACTTGACAACTTATTCACGTTTAATGAACATATATATTGTTAACACATATTTGTCTGACTGGTGAGTTAGGATCAGAGAAGGAAACTTACTGACAACTATGGAAGCAGAATTCTGGAATTAGAAGGCAGTCATCTAATAGCGAGAGTAATATTCATTATAATCATTCCCTTCGATCTTTTCGAAAACATATTCCTTCAACAGGTCATCTGAATTTCATTCTGTTTTCACCATGATTGCCTATAAGATCTTGTCTTTTGCGTGTCACCCTCGGTTCCACACCCAACTTGTCGTTACTTATTCGTGTTTTACTCTAGCGATTTCCTGGTGCTTGATATCCTTCAACGCTATACTTAGCTTCTATCTAATCCATCTTCATTCTATTCGGCATTTTCGTCGGGTGACTGATTATTGGTTGGTCAGTTGACAAATGTTCCTTGTTCTTGATCCTTTCTGACCGACCATCTGATCTTCCCCATAGTACAAAGGTGAGTTTTAATAAAGGGTTTGAAGCCTGTTGGAAGTGCTTACAGTGACTTATTCACCAAGACTATCTATCCCATAGATGAACTGACTTAAATGTAGTACTGAAAATCCGATCGCCGTACATTTTCAAGCTGGCTTCAGATTATTGAAGGTGTGTCTTGCTTTGTAAAAACAAAAAATACTCTTGACAAACAGCATGTACAATATAGAAATTTGCTGTGTAATCAGTCTAGAAAATTCTGTGCCAACTCAAGACAAAGGGATGACGTTTTCACAGTGTGTATTAATAAGAGTGATTTCAATTAACTAACACGAGCGATGATTCAAGATTTCATTTTCTGGATGTTTAATAAGTGGGGCATGATGTACTTCTTGAAAACACCAGCTTACATAAGACGCCTAATTCAAACGGTCAATATGCACATATATCAGTTTCCATAATGGTATAAAACCAAGGCGACTACTAATTCTAAAATGATTTTAATTCTCTTTACATTGCTATTTATTTCTTTATTATTCCCTTGACTTCCGAATGAAACATCGCCTTTTTTCAAAAGCAGATCTCTATTTCACCGTGTTTCCTTCAGTCCCTCTTTAGCTGGCTACCGCACTGCTCATAAGCAATCACTTCCTTCTCACACAATCTCCTTTGTGCCACCCTGAGACGTCCAGCTTGTCGTCCCACACACACTGGGGTTCTATTCTAGAGTCTGGCGCGTATTGTCATTCAATGCTATCTTCAGTGTGGTATCTAACACATCTTCATTTTCTTTGGAATATTTGTTAACCAATAGTTTCACGGTAAGTTTGTTCCCAGATCTTCATGTTGCTTCTTCTTTCTGGCCACCTCACCCAGTTTACCAGTCCACTGGTTATCTACTCATGCCTAAGCCAGGGAAAAGAAAGAAGGCTGGAGGTGAGGCTACCGACCGACCTTACAGCTAAAAATCAATCCAGTCACTACAGAAACTTCAAAGCACAATGAAAAGTCAAATAACAAGAGCTATATATATATATATATATATTGCGAATTCACTGAAGCTGAAATTTATGGACCAGATCTCAGCGACTGAATGGTTTTGCAATTGAAAGCTCCTGAGTTCGAACCGATGGTGGATGCAAGCTGATGGAGAGACTCAAACTTCAACAGAAAAGCTGTCCAACGATCCCTGGCTTTCAGTTGGTTCACTAAATGGTGTCAGCTAGTAATAAAACCTATAACCGATCAAATCCATACAAACTAATATAAGTATAAAACTTGGAGCCATACAAACTAACACTTGAAAATCAATAAGAAACACAAAAATGACTTCAGCAAATTTCACTGACACCCATCACACAAGACATGGCTCTCTTGGACCAGTGGCCTAGTGGATTAATCTTTTGGTGTTTGAAGGGATAACTACAAGTTTTAAGTTGCATTTGGAACACTGTCCATCAATCAATGAAGAGTGGCAGGCAAGTCAGCCTGATGAGTCCAAAAAAACATTGATGAGATTTGCATCTTGGATTCCGTCAAAATAAGAACTTTCTCTTTATTAGCTTTTTAATTACAAATTGTTATTAAAGTTAAGTAATATGCCTATAAAAATAGAAACACAATGCCATAGGCTTATATATATATACAACAAACTGGATTCAAGAAACGCAAATCGCGTGATGTTCAAAAATTGCAACTATACGCATCGTCATCAAACAAAGCATAGAGTGGCAGTCAGACCTCTACCTGAACTTCATCGACTTCGACGACCACCAAATAGTTTTGAAACTTCTGTGGAGTGCAGTGATCAAGTCTTCACTAACCTCATTCAGTTGGTAGCTATATGACGATGCCTGCCACGTGTCAGGTGACTCGCAACGGAAAACTCTGTAAGGCGTTAGAACTGAATACAGGATTGATGCAAAGCCGCCTGATATCACCAATGACATTCTTAATTGTGATGAACCGGACAATGCGTCAAACTGTGTGTTGTGAGTGAGAAGACAGGAAGTCTCTAGATGACCTGAATTTTGCGCATAGATGATTTATGTTTAATGTCACAAAATCTGGATGAATTAGAGGCAGGCGAAAAGTAACAAACTGGCTGAAGAAGCAGGGGAAGAGCGAAGACAGGAATGCTGGTGAACACAGAGAAGCTTAGATAAAGGTGATAATGATAACCTCGCATCACCACTAAATCCTTTGCACTCAGCATAAAGGAAAAGATTTGGATTTTGAAAACCAATATGAAGACAATTCTTTTCTGTGGATGGAAAAATGGGTTCACGCATCACCAAAAGCATTTCGACCAGTCTAATGCAGAATTTTATCAACAGCTGGCTTCGCTCTATATTGACGACCAAATGGCTAGAAAGAATTGGCAGCAAGAAACTGTGTGCATCAGTGGTTTCATAGGTGGAATGAATGTTCATGATGCGAGAGTTGTTGGTTGGACTCCTGGCAAGGAGACTAATAAACCTCGTTTAAACAACAGTAGTCCAGGAAAAAGTCGGATTCATCCAACAACAACAAGCAGCAACATCCAACGTCAATTACCATCAACGGGAAAGATTTGAAAGAGGTTACTTCATTCACTTCACTTATCTAGGGAGTATTGTCTCAACTACAGGAGGAACGGACGAGGATGTCAAATCAAGAATCGAGTAGGCGAGAAACACATTCATCAACCTGAAAACAATCTCCAAATCTTCGTCACTCAGCATCAACAACAAAATTCGGTTGGATTTCCAATACAAACGTCAAGTCAGTTCTTCTATACGGATTAGAAACTTTTCGGGTGGGTCACAAAGAATATTTGCTAAAGGTTGCGGACTTTTATTAACAGCTGCCTTTGTTCTATACTAAAGATCAGATGGCCGAAAAGAATCACCAAAAGGAACTATGGGAACAAAACAATAACCAATCGCCCAACAAAAACGCAGGAGAAAGTGGAGATGGATCGGACACTCGCTGAGGAGACCGCTGGGTGACATCGCGCGTCAAGCCCTCGAGTGGAACCCGAAAGGAAAGCGGCGAGTGTGACGTCCAAGAGTGACATGGAGGAGATAGTGTGAAGAGGAGTTGAAAGAGTATGGACTAACATGGATGCAGGTGAAAAGTAGAGAAGACAGAAGCAAGTGGAGACGTGCAGCTGAAGCCCTATGTTCCACTAGGAACCCAAGGAAGCAATAATAATAGTGAGGTTGGTAATTAAACCCCCTTAATATTCAAAACTTTAACCCCTCATGGTCAAGTTATAACTTAGCAAATGAAGGGTTAATAACAACAACATGAAAACACTAACATTATTAAGGTAAATATTCATCATAGAAATTAAATATTGTGAACACCGATATCAGCATCGCGCGGAAAATGGATGGTAGAAACATATGTGTGAAGGCAATACAAAAGAAACACCATTAGACTTTAATGTTGGATAACATCAACTGTATTTCTGTGAAATTTTTATTTCCATAAGTCCTATCTGATACAAGTTATTGATAAAGCCGATTTAATAAAACCGAAAAGATGTTGATTTGTAACAGAAAATAGTTTTCAAGTCTTGGTTTGTAAGGATTCGGTTGATTGGTTGGTATAGGAAATAGTTTACTATTGTTTGGCAGTATTAATTACTGGTGAGTTTGTATTCCCCTACTCTCATCGTCTCGTTGATGAACTTCTGATCGATTCTCGACTGTTCACAGAAGGTGATCTTGATTGTTGCAATTCCTGTCGGGATTCTTTGTATTGAACACCTTCATACTGACCTCTCTGTTGACATGCTTTCCATATTGCGACTATTATCCATGTAATACAGGTTAGACTCAATTGTGTGAAGACTAGAGTCAGTGTTAAGCTGACATAACTGACTAGAAATGGATGAATAATAACAGAGAGGGGTAAAAGCAAATCATAATCAAGAATATATTAAGGCGCCATGTTTGTAAACTCTGAATGACTATTTGGCATGAGGCTTAAGCAGAAACCTGGGTATATTACGATGTATTGCTATGTGAAGAGGTGCTGGCTAGGATGTCATGAACTCGTGACGCCCCTATATTGGGCCTAACTGTATGCCTATAAAACTAATTTAGGTAGGCACGTCATACACTTAAACAGACCAATTTCACAAATACTTGTTGGATATTCACGATTGAATTATTGAACATTACTTTTTGTTAATGTGTCCATTCAACTTCTTCCGAACGACATAACTCAACAAGCCTTCCGAATTTTTGAAATTGGTTGTGAAATGCATTGAATGATATTTAATCGAAGGGGAATTTTTAATTTTTCATTTACTATAACATACATTTCTGTGAACTTGGAGATGGTGCTAAAAGTAATACAATTTATGGACTGTTTATTAGATCTAACCAATATATTTGTTCTAATTATTGCAAGGAAGACAGCTCATCGGATGAAAATAGTGAGGACAGGAGTAATGGAGACGGTGACCACCGCTAACAATAAGCACAAATCGTCACCAGTGTGAGAAATCTAAGTGAAGTCATGTCTCCTTCACATATCTCAGTCAAATCATTTCAGCTATAGGCAGCATGGATGTCGATATCAAACCCAGCCAAAACTACTCAGGGAAACCAAGATTGTCACTCATTACTTTGAATTCACTATGGAAATGCATAACAATTTGCACATGGAACCAAGCAGAATGAAGCTGTGCCACTTAAGCCCCATGATCTGAATAGTCAACGTATCAACAAAGAAACTATAAGAGAAATTAGCAATGTGAACTTTTCCTGTCCTACTTTTTTATAAAGCCAATGTTTTCTTCAGGGGTTTGTAGGATGTTCCCCAGTGATTTCGTTGATGAATTCTCCGTATATTGGTTATTGAAATTCAAAACTGGATGGGCACCAAACAGTAATCTGGTTTTATCCATAAATAAAAGTCTTCACCAGTGAAAATGGCCTTACTGAGCAGTAGAAATAAATCAAGAAAATAAACTTGTATTCGAGGCAAACACAGACAGCTCCGATAGTGTTTTTTGTCAAACACTGATGTGAACTTTTCGAATTATAGTTCTTTCCCTTTGTTTAAATACTCAGATGCTTTCTGTTCACCGGAAGTGGAGAAATGACATGATTCATATGTTTTCTTAAAACTTAGATATGATAGAAACCATGTTTGGCCCAGATAGGGAATGTTGGTGCAGTTGTGTCCACTCAGCAAAATGGTTGTTTGCGAAGCTCTCCAGACAAGTTTATTATTGAAGTTTGCACTGCAGGTATTTTGTCCATGAAGAGACAACGAAAGCCTCACAACTAAACCATCTCCACCTCAGAGAACACAACAACACCAATATTCCTTTGGTTAAGAGTGACTTTAGCCGTTGTTTTTCGTATATCTTAAAAGAATGTCAATTCGGAGTATAATGCGATTGTATCTGGAATCGATGAGCATGAAAAGCAATTTCAAAAAATACATATGTACATATTACAGTCAAATATTATTGGTTCACACGAGATTAACTTACAACGACATTCAAGTGGAACTTTTGGGTCAAGATCGGCAGGTGCAAAGAAATAATTACAGACACATGTGAAATTTCCATCCAATGTTTTCAAACAATGAGAGTGTTGAGGGCATACTTGATGCTCACAGTCGCTGGTAAATGGTTTAATTAGGAATGCCTTTTGTTTTGCAGAAGAAAAAACAAGGCGAAATATGCAAAAAATAAAAATAAATTAAAATCTGTACGACTTGATTTCATTTACAATTCATTCATTTTCTTGCTGGCCTCCACAAATTAGAAAACGGCGTAATAAATTAGGTTGAAACAAGACTAATATAGCGAAAATTCTCAAATAGACATCAGGACGACTAAATGAAACAAGAGATTGAGCAAAGAATATTCTTTACAATGAAATGCCTCATCCTGTCCTACAACTATTTTATATGTATTTAATGGTTAAAGAATAATTGTTATTGACAACCAACCTTCTTACTCTTTTTTAAATAATGTCAAGTTGTTAGGATCGAAATTATGTGTTAGTGATCATATGCATAAATATAGCACTCAAAATGAATATCAGAAGAATAAAGCAACAACTAAGGATGGACACGACAATAGCATTTTGTAAAAGACTTAAGAGGAAGCGTCGTTTATCAGATTTTTATACTTCAGGTAATTTAGGTTTCTAAAGGAAACCTCATGTTATCAACTAGTTTGAATCCAAGAACAACATTTAAAACAGTCAAATGTCTGACTTACTTTATCCGGTTAACAATACTGAGGATTCCAAACCTGAACGAGTGAGTCGACTGTCTGGGTTTCTTGATTGCTTCAGTCTGCCTGAGAAGTACTATAGGTTGATGTGAGTGGTTTTCAACTTACAGCGTGTCGAATCCTACTGCTCCTGTGCAGGTGTTTTACTTTCACATTGTAAGTGTTTTCTCCAGAAACAGTCAGCGCCTTCTCGAGCCAGGTCATTCAACCTCATTCGACTTATCCTCAAAAGTTGTCTGCAGAGCTCAATTTAGTCACTGTAAAGGTCCACCTTTTCTTCACTTATATTTGGCCAAAATTCCAGCTGTACTTGGACGAAAACCTAAACTATGTATTCAGAAACACTTTTAAAACTCCTTTTTCCCCTCCTAAAGGACACCACTTGACTTACTTTAAGAAATTAAACACCAACTAACTCATTTAACACACTTATATAATTCAGTAATTCGTCCACTTCAACTCTACCTCCTCAAAAATTATTTTAGTTGTCTTTATTCTTATCATATGTCTACGTTGGCCGAGCAATTATAAATGCTACTCAACACATTTTTCTGTAATATTAATATGACTGTATAGCTTGAAGATGAAGTCGTTGGAAAGAAATAGGCTTCTTCTCTGAATGATTCTGTCTCTTTCACTAATATTTCCTAATGATGGAAAATAATCAGCCTTTGCTGATATATGAACTTCTGGTTCAGACAGTCCAGTGTGGAATTAAACAAATTGCTTCAATCAGTTTTTTCCGCTGTCGAAAAAGAGACGGTCTAAACACAAGACAGCCACTTGGTTTACTTGTGTATCAGAGATAAATTGGTTCACAGAGTGGGTATTAATACAAATTACTAATAGTTCCGGTCACTTAACTGTACTGACTGACATTTGTAGAATGAAACCAATTGTTTACGCTGAGCATACTCGGTGATACAGCCTCACTGCTCATCTCGCTATCCTAAAATCTTCAGTTAGTCTTCCTGTTCAGCAAGACAATTAGATGTTTTCCCCTCTTAATCAGATTCTAGGATAGAGCCAGTTTAACTAACACTGATTCTCCTTGTATTCTGTTTTCTAAACACTAGTTTAACACTTTTTTTATCAATCATGACAGTAATTATAAGCAATTTAGGTCGGCGGATTAGCTGGATTGTGATTTGCTCAAGGCTAGCCAAGTACTGAGCTGAACGTGGTAACTTTTCGGAAACAACGAGCTGGGTATCTGTGAGTGACATGGAAAAGAACGAGAGAGGAAGAGATGAAAGTTTATGGGCAAATGTGGAGTTGGCTAAAGACGTCTGTGGAGACAGGCCAAAATGTAAATGTGCGTGGATATTTTTCCAACTGTCAATTTCTCAATCCCTGACCCTTCACTGATAACGTTTGCATCATAACTCCCAGTTTTGGACTACGCTGATTACAGAAAGGCAGTATCAAGTAAAAAGCAAACAGATTTAGTTTTTTAGGGATTTAAGTAGTTTCACTGTAAGTTTCATCACTAACTGACATTAATTAGTGAGTTATTCAAAACCAAAGGACACTGGACAGCTCTATCTCGTCCTAATTTACATGGAAAAATGGAATATTACACACATGCAAACATTAATTAGAATTAAATGTACTCACTTATATCACTCTACATTAACCTGTTGTATCTTTTCTGTAGCTATGTGGGATAATGTACCTTGACTCTTCGAGATAAAACACTTATTGAATGACCTATATATCCCATCCAACTGGAACAAGTGAATCGGCAGATACACATTAAAACAAGGTCGTTCTGCACGCATTTCGACCTCTTCTATGGGTATCTACTAATTGGCCTGTTCGTATGGCGCAAAATATATCAGTGGTTCAAAATGTGTTTATTTTACCTAGAAAAGTCAGGGAACATTACGCCACATAGCTACGGAGAGATCAAGATGGGTCAATACGGTGCGCTATAACTGAACATATATTTAACACTGGTCACTCAGTGTCTAAGGAAGATTCATTCCAAGTTATCTAGTAGTTAGAATTCACAGATCATTAGGATTCTGCATAAGTCAACTGGCCTCATGACCTCAAAGTCCTCAGTGTGCACTCCAGAAAACTAACCAATTCTCTCATTGGCTTTCACTGATTATCTATCTTATGTAAGTTGGTGAGAACGTCTACGCTGATATAAGTTATAACTTTATTCATCCTAATCTGTTGTGACCTTATCTTCCTCACGGTCTTCCATTCTCTGGCTGACCTAGCTGAACACAGAGCTTTCAGGCTGAGCATTGAAGTTTCAGTGGTGCTGGTGTAGTTTATACAGGGTATCACTAAGTGGTTGCATCCCTACTTCTCAAACAGAATGCAGTACACTGTATACAAAGGTAAATCCTCCTATGCTGTGTTCACTAAAGCTGGTGTCTCCCAAGGTGCTGTACTCACCCCACTTCTCTTTTCTTCCTTTCTACAAGACTTACCATCTTCAGATGACATTAATTTTGTTGAATATGCCGACGACCTGATTGTATCTTTTCCTGTCAAGTGTCAAAGTGACTGCTCCAGACTAAATGGCTTTTTATCAGAAATCAGCAAGTGGTCCAAGAAAAACGGTCTAACCTTAAACCCCTCCAAATGCCAAACAGTCAATTTCACTTTTAGGCATAAGTCTGACCTAAGCAAACTGGTTAGCACTCACGAGGTGTGCAACAGTGATGGCACTGAAACATAAACCGAGTCAGAAATCGAATAGCTTGGCGTCATTCTATCTGCTGATCTTTCCTGTCGTCTCTCATATTTTGATGATTTCTAAGAAAATATTCCTTCTTACCTTCTACATCAAGAAGTTAAGATATTCTGGTATAACCCAACCCTTACTCCCACAATGCGTTAACTCTCGCATTCTGCCTATTATTCCCTATTGTTCCCCCTTAGGTTTTCCAGGGCTACTGATGAAAGACTATACCTTATTACGCAGGATGTTAAAGGTTGTCAGCAGGGTAAGCCATGTGGCACCTAACCAGCTTGGTAATATTCTGATTGACAGGCACTTGGACTTGTGCGAAAAATGGGCAAAATCCATTTTATCTAACTCACACCGCCCTTTTCATTCACAAATCTCCCCTTGCATCTTATCAGTCAGAAACAAAAGCCTATATAGTAAGCTATATGCTCGCACTAGCAAGCACAAAAACCCAAATATACCCTACTTCCCTCGTGTTCTGTGCGATAAAGAAAGCATTAGGCGTGATACCTATAACTTATTAAATAGTCAGTAGAACAGCTGGATCACGTCTTTCCAACTCATATCATTTATTGGCACAAGTTTTCTCCCTTTCCTTCCCTTTTCTCTTTTTTTCTTTGCTTTTTGTTTCTTTGTTTGTTTTTTCTTATGTTATGTTTTGTCTCTCTCTTCTTTACAAACTCTACTTAAAACATTCTTCTTCGTTATTTCACACTCTGGATTTCTCGACCTTTTCGTTACCGCTTACGCCAGTAAATATGCTAGCATCTACTTTTCTAACACCTTCAAACATTCTGTTCACTTTTGGCTTTGCTACCGACACGCCAATATGTTGTTGTCATAATGAACTGAGATTATCCTAATCTGTGTAAAATTTTATTTATTGATAATGTACTAACTGGATGCAATACTGTAGTAAAATTGCTGAGAATTCCATTCTGTATCACAAGTACTGTTTTGGAATAAAGCAAATTACTATTATTATCACTGCCAGCTTAGGGTTTTCTCTAGGTTAGTCAAGAATCAAACCCCTGTTGCATGTATAATTGGCCAGTATTCTACCACGGACCCTCCGAAACACTGAATAGTAGTACTGCGCAAGTTAATTAATATATCACCCTGTTAAAACTCCCCACACTTCAACTGTAACCAGACGACTGGAACTATTCGGCGAACAGCTGTTTTCAATAACTTCTTCATCGCACTCTACACTTATAAATCCATGAATAGCATAAGAATACAAACAAACGGTAAAGACGAAGGAAATTTACATCAGTCAGAAACTGTATCCACCTTCATGTGTAAAATGAAACGATACGCAATTCTTTAATTAACATTCTTAGTTTCATGTATATACGGTGTACAATCAATCAATCAATCGAAATAAGATCAAGTGTAAATAGACAACTGGGCGATAGACATAATAATGTCAAATTAATTATAATCACATTTCTATAGTTAACAAACAATGATAAGATTTCTGTTTTGGTAATATTTCGAGTAACATTACTGCCATCGATCACATCATCTGATGGAATTGTTTTGTTTCTAATTCACACTTTCACGATTTGTAGTCATATCTGCATAGGTCATTCTTTGTTCATTGCCTTATTTGTGTATCCTGAATAATATTCCAGGTTGTTGACTGTCATGCTGTCGAGTCAACCTTCTTACATTCTCTGGTTTTACCCTCTTCTTTTCTTCTTTATATCATCTTTGATTAATTCTTCTGGGTAGTCGTTGTCGAGTAACATTTTGAGAAAGACGTTTATTTTTTCGTTGGTCATTGGTTGTTATTCTAAGTTCACGTATTCTGTTTGCAAGATCTTGTATAATCCCTAGTGTCACCGTGATTGGATGAGCTGGGTAATAATGAACGAATCTCCCAAAATGTGTAGTTTTCTATAAATCATCCTTTTCACGCCACCGTCAGTTACTCTTTATACTTTGCAGTCTAATATACGCAGTTCTTGTATTTCATTCTATATTTCCATAGTGAATTTTATTCAGTCGACATGATTGTTTATGTGTGGGGAAGAATTTCTCAACACTGTTCTTTTTCATAATTACTAACTTGTCGGTAAGAAATCTCCATCAATATTTTATTGATGACCTGAATGGTTTAAGTCCATTCTCCTCCCAAAAATCCTTGAATATATCAGCTATTATAAGGTAGACAAGTGATCTTACGTTTACCCTTTTCATTTTTTGAGTATGTTTTTCTTTCAAATGTAAAACACGTTTTTGCTAGACAGAATTCCACCTCTTTTAGCATCTCTTCAACGTGTTCTGCTTTTAAGGCCATCATCTTTTTTTAATCTCGATTTCGAGGCATCCATGCTCATTTGAAAAGGGAGAGACTGTTTACATCAAAGCTCACTAGTATTTCCTCTTCATCTACTTAAGTGTTTATTTTTGTCGTCTTACAAATTATAATGAATCCACTATTTTAGCTTTTTAATTGCCTCATATGTTCTTAACATCATATGTGTTAATGTGTATTTAGAATCTACAATTGGTCTGTTATCGGATACCCTTCCTTATGTACTTTTATCTTGCCATATATCCAAGGTGTATTAAATGATTGGAATAACATTTGTTTTCTGCAGTCTAATATGAACCGTTGGAAAGACGGACAGATAACAGATTCTATGTTCATTGAGGTCATGCCATATACATGTGACAAGCGTGACTCGACAGCATGACGGCCAACAACCTGGAATATTATTCAGGATACACAAATAAATGAATGAACAATGAATGACCTATACAGATATGACTACAAATCGTGAAAGTGTGAATTAGAAACAAAACAATTCCACCAGTTGATGTGATCGAGGGCAGTAATGTTGCTCGAAATATTACCAAAACAGAAATCTTATCAATGTTGTTGTTAACTATAGAAATCTTTAAATATTCCCATTTATAATATTAGAACAAGACATATAAGCGAACAATATTGTTTTCAATTAGATCTTCCTCAGGTTTTACTCTAATTTACATAGACTTATATACTGATCCGATACAAAATCAATTCGTTCAGATGCCTCATGAATAGAGCAAGACGTATCTGTACAGGTGACTCCTTAGAAAAAGAGCTAGGATACATCCAAAATACGTTGGTACGAATGGGTTATCCTAGTAGATTTGTAAGAAGACACATGAATACCAGCTACAAGATAGAAAAACTGACAACAGTTAAAAAGAAACAACTCCTCATGAAACTGCAATCTGATAGCGACGTGGCTAGCAAAGTCTTAAATTTGAGATTATCGAGAGCGATAAAACGGACTTATACAGCCACCACCGTTTGTTTGTCATTTTCCAGCCGACCACTTTTGATTGCTCAAGTGAAAGATAGGCTGCTTAGCTATGTCACTTCCATGTGTATCTATAAATTTAATTGCTCCTGTGAAGAAAGCTATATAGGCCGAAAAACTAGACAGCCTAACAAAAGCATTAATGAGCAGAGCATCTTCCTTCATGGTTTGGAAAAGGTCAAATAAAATCCATACGAATTTCTATTTTGGCTCATTTGATTGATAGTGGTCATCAAGTGGACAAAAATAGTGCTTTCAAAGTTATCTATCGCGTTCCATCGAGTCTTTCGAACGGAATCAGAACCCGTCTTTTGCACTCAGCCGAAGCTATGGGAATTCTAGAAAACAACCCTATTCTTTGTATACAAAAGAAGTTTGTTGTACCTTTGTCTCTCCCTTGCTTCGCCTAGCTGAATTCTATTCAAAACCCTCCCACCCTTTCTTATCTTCCATCTCCTTTGTACTGTTATGATATTTATTTAAACTCTGATTATCGTTCAATTTCACCTTTTAAGATTTGACCTAATTTATTTATTTATTGAATTGTCTACATATACACATATATACATAAACTACCTTTGTTATTCTTATCACCTGCATAGACCCTATTATCAATATTTTCTTATCATTAAAATAATCGTTATTAACTATGTTCAACACATTTACCACATTATTATTATTGTTACTATTATTATTATTATTTGATCCATAAAATCACCGTCATTGGTTAAAAATTTTTATATATAAGTCTATGTAAATTAGAGTAAAGCCTGAAGAAGATCTAATTGAAAACAACAATATTCTTCGCTTATATGTCTTGTTCTAACTAAAGAAATGTAATTATAATTAATTTGACATTATTGTGCCACTCAGCTATCTGTTCACATTTTATCTTCCTTCGATTGATTGAGTGTAAGCCATATATGGATAAAACTGACAATATTAATTGATGAATGGCCTATCGTTTCAGCTTACACATGAAGGTGGATACAGTTTCTGACTGATGTAAATTTCATTTGCCTTTACCTTCTGTTTGTATTCTAACATTATTCATGGAGTTACAACTGCAGAGTGCGATAAAGAAGTTTTCGAAAACTGTTGCTCTCTCAGTACACATGTTTTATCATAAAACATTTTACGCCCTATAGTAATTTGTAGAAATTTTGTCGATTAACATCGTTTAATTATTGTGTCAATCTGCACTCCTCTGAGTTTAAAAAGTTCATGCATCTCAACAGGTGATCAGCCATTTTAAAATGAGAATATGTTGGTAAGGTGAATGTGAAATACCAGACAACGTAATGATCAAGCCTTGTCAGCTGCATGTCTCTTCAAATGGTGCATAGTTAGAGATTATTTGATGATCTGCGATAATAATAATAATGATAGACATATTTAAGTCTTGTAGACTCCTTATTGCTTTTATTAGTAAATGTAAATAACAAAATATTTTTAAATTATCTCATACACATAAAAGATTAAGGCTTGTTTTAGCGCAATAAATCAATATTCTAATTGTCTAGCTATTCACTTTTTACAAGTGTTGGTTTACTGGAGGTATTGATCGATCTCAGTTTACATAACAAAATGATTTCAGTCAGAGAAACTCTGAAAACCAGGAGCCTACTGTTAAAGATTGAATGAAGGATCTTCAGGCTGCGAGTCGTGATCGTTTGTGTTTCAACCACTCGGAGAGAGACCA